CGTCCGTCCGTCCGTCCGTCCGTCCGTCCGTCCGTCCGTCCGTCCGTCCGTCCGTCCATCCATCCATCCATCCATCCATCCATCCATCCATTCATCCCATCATCCATCCATCATCCATCGATCATCCCCATCTCATGCCAATGGATGAATGGATGGATGGATGGATGGATGGATGGATGGATGGATGGATGGATGGATGGATGGAATGAATGAATGTATAGATGGATAGATGAATGGATGAATGGATGGATGGATGAATGGATGGATAGATGGATGGATGGATGGATGGATGGACGGACGGACGGACGGACGGACGGACGGACGGACGGACGGACGGACGGACGGACAGACGGACGGATGGATGAATGAATAAATGATCCAACAGACAGACAGAAGGGGGACGACTGGACTGACGATTCTATATCGTAAACAAGCAATTGCAGTCTTTTCTATGAAAACATGAATTTAAGCATACGGTTTTTACATCAATTCCGGAGCCGTGGTTGCAAGAGAGTAGGTTATGGTCTGCCATGTATTGTCTCTGCCAAGAAAGCTACAAGTAAGTATAACCCCGTTTTATACCTATCTATTTTAGTATTTTATAGCACTAATATGAAGCATAACAATCTGTTAATTTAGTCAACAAATTACCCGGAATCTATGCGTTGGTCTGTTCCAATTACAAATGCCGAGAAGAGAGAAATCCTACACGGTTAGTGACTTGGTAATATTCTAATCATGTAGAAACTAGGTGGTAATCATACGGTACGACGATGTTCTAACTGATTTTCTTCAATGAATTATTTCAGGTGAGGAGGTTATACTGAATGGAACATTAGGCTTCATAACAAACGTTGTCCCAGAGAGCCACGAGGATAATGACGCGCTGTAATTAAGGTGTAACCGAGGTGAGTCGAAACATCGTTGATAGTATACTATCGCGTCAAACCCACCGAGTTTTTGGCGGAATTTTCATCATAGGATCAGAATAAATGAACATGTGAACAACTGAATATGGTGGCGTAGTACTTGATTGAATAAAAAACGTGATTTTGTACTGCAACAGTGATAGTACACTGTACACACATTATCTATGTTATGTATATATAATAGTATATATCTACAAATTTCTATAATCATGCATTCACATTTGCGTGTCACTTACACACATTACACACGTTACACTGTACACACATTATATAGCGCCGCCATGAACTTGGCTTTAGGTTGTATTTGATAATTGACCACCTGGACATTCTTTTCTCATTTAAGTGAAATTTCGCAATGTGTAATTACGGAAAATCGCGGTAGTAACTCGTCATATGTAAAGTGTGTGTGTAAACACGATCACTCAAATAAATTACTATTTGACCGCTATTTTACTATGTTTTACTATTTTACCACACAGCTGTGTCACTGTAAATGGCTCGAATGGTGGTGCCGCCTGGTGGTGCCGCTTGTCCGTCAAAGTATTCACCGTATGGTTAGCAGTGTGGCAGTGGCTAGTAACAGCAGTGGGTCATACTGTTCAGCAGATAATGAGGAAATATAGTGAGTCACTATCAGTTTGTTTAGTTGACTTATATTGGTTGGGGTTCAATCGCTAGATGGCAGCACCGGTCACGTTTAAAACGAATATATGTGATTGTGCCTGCTATAGATATTCGCAGAAGTTAATGAAGACAAATGACAAAAGTTAATTTGTCTTCATTAACTCCTGATATTCGTGATACGATTGCATGAGAAGAATAAACGAGGTTATGTAAAAGCTCCCGCTGCTGGTGGGGTTGGTTGTTGTAAAATGGCTGTTCGGCAGCAGTTCGCGGGGTGGTGGGAATTCAGACATTTTGGTGGGTAGGCCCCTAATGGAGAGCGGGAAGTGTGAATTATATACACGTCCACTATTACCACCCGTGTGAGGGCACATATCCCGCGCGGTGCCGCTTATATAAACACGGATAGCATCGCTGGCAACGTGTGTTCAATCGATTTAATCGCGCTTTGCAACAACACACAATGCATGGCCACAAGCAACGGCAGGTGCCGACTGCGGGGAACGGCAGCAATCTGACATGATCAGACATGCATGAATTGTACGTGAAATTGTATTCAAATTAAATAGTAAACGAAAAGTACATGAATATCCTTGTAAACAGTGTAGGTGTTGATTATGCGTTTCCGTAAAGGTTATTTGGTGTAAAAAAATCTCATATAAGACAGAATACTGCGCAGGCTTTGGGTAATTTTCTGGCAAGGAATGGTATAGCGAAACTATAATTATTTTCCCTTTTTTACGGAGACAGATTGGGCATGAGACAGATTATAGAGATTCTTTCGTTCGATGACATAGATAATTCGGATTAGCTAGGTCATTTACCAGCACATTCCTCAATAATTCACCCACGTTTGTCTGACATTGGTATAAGCATAGATAGATCGTTGATTATTTTCCTGATGGATGACGCGTACAGGAAATGGCGTGGCCTATATATATATATATCAAGAGCTAATAATAGAGATTTCTATTATGTACTCTTGATATATATAGCTATATAATATATAGCTACACAATTAGTGATAAACGTTCCAACCACAGAAAAATAAATATAGAACAGACGAACAAGATATTGTTAGTTGTGCGATGTGTGTGTATGGGCGGGATTTGATTTTGCCTTTGTCTTAGAATTCTCCCATTTAACACAATGTAAGTTGACTATATCACGAGTCCATAATAGAAGTACTATAGCACTATAGCACTATGCACTATAGCGGAACTTGGAATATGTTTTTCCTATCCGGGCATCGCCTATATGAATACGGTATGATATAATTTCCATATAAATTCCAATATTTTTCATATAATTTTTCATATAATGTTATAGATTTTAGTTATTTTTTTCATATAATTTCAATATCAATTCCATATCATTTCATGACCAAGGCATGACCACAGCTATATATAATAGACATATTCTTGAATAACTGTACGCGTGGATGGATCCATTACTATAATATACTGTCAAAAACAAGAATACCATAATATACGTACAGCTACCGTTAGTAATTAATTAATTATTACTAATTACCCTACCGACTCGATCCACCCCGCACACCTGACCTGGCTAGGGCACGGCAATCTTAGCTGCTCACAACTCCACTCACACGTGTAGTCAGACAGTGCAAGATTAGGGTAGGCCTACTACTTATGCTTACCCCCGCGCGTTCATAATAACACGCACGCAGACTCGCAATAATGACGTCACCCAGGCAACCGCTTGCCCGTCGATAACGGGCATTACGCTGCGCACGCGCACAGTCGTTGCTACGAGCGAGAATGCGTACGCACGCACACGCTACGCCGTCTGCGCTCATCGCCTCGCGCAACCATAACAAACGTGGCTGGGTCGGCGGCTGCATCGGCTGCACTGTACGAGATGAAATGACAACATCGTAGTGTCGCGTGAATACGGCCGGAGAACGCACCGGATATAATTGTACCCGTCTTGTTCTGCTGAACTGAATACTGAAGCTCGCGGAGAAGATAAGGTAGGGGCATGCACGCGACATCGCATTTCGACTCTAGTCGGCCTACTGCAGTAGCCTATACTTAGTGTATCTGCGCGCGCATGCAAGTTTGGCTTCATTTTCTCGTTGCTGCTTGTTGGATGATAGATGCGTTGCTGTGGTGATTGAGCAAGGCTGACTGGATAACCATTACATCAATGAATTGCGATCTAGAAATTTTTTTATAATATGACGCTGTTCTAGGCACGATTTATTAGTCTAGATTACGATTAGCTATAGCCGTTGGCTACAATAATCGTAGGCCTATCTAGTTCGTATCTATAATCGTGACAATAACAAAAGGATGTGTCACAGTAGATCTGTCTGTTTCCTTTTTCGGCCGTTATTGTGAATTAATTGCCAAATATAATGCGCCAGTGCATGAACATGGTGTAGGCCTATTTGTTAGTCCGTGCTTGATTAACGATATATGTGGCATATCTCCGTACATCGATACATCTATGAACATGTAATTCAAACAGCTTCCAAAGTCGAAACGACAATGTTTTTACTCAAATAGCCAGAAATTTAGTCTTACAATCGGACATATTCCAGAAGGATATGGGCGTATGGGCGCATCCCTTTCACCCCCAAAAAATAGACAAGACTCGTGCTCTAATCTATTTTTGCTCGCACGGAAAAGGTATTTTTGTCGCTGCTGGCTCGTATACACGTTCACCGCTAAGCAGATCGCAGACTACTGCTGTATAGCGGCATTAGCGTGATTCCGTTCCATGTGCACAGTATTTATGTAGTGTTACAGATACATATCAGGAGCTAATAATGACTCATGATACATATATGTATGGAAAGCCATCCCCTTCAAAAATTATTTTCAAACATTTCAAATACACAATTTAAAATCTATTTAAAACATTTCAAATTAATTAATGAAAATACAAATTACTTTATATTGTTCGCGAAATTTTAATTCAAAATTTAAAATCAATTCACAGAATAACAAATCAATTTATTAACTTGCAAATTAATTCACAACTTTCCAAAATAATTGACTGATATTCAAATTCCTTCACATAATTGTACAAATTTATTTTCAAAACAACAAACCAATTTACTAACTTGCAATTTAATTGAGAACATGTTACATAAACTCACAAATGTTCAAATCTTGCTTCATCACCCTATAACAATTGAAATTTTAAGTTTTAAATTAGTTTACAGAAAAACTATTCAGGAAACTTCGAATGAATTCATAGGACTTGCAATCTATTCACTACACTTTCCGAACCAGCCAACTACAAACCAAACTCCAAATCAATTCATTCTAAAAGTGCCCGGTAATTTTTACCACGCTGATATGATATTGATTTGGAGTTTGGTTTGTAGTTGGCTGGTTCGGAAAGTGTAGTGAATAGATTGCAAGTCCTATGAATTCATTCGAAGTTTCCTGAATAGTTTTGCACACGGACCGGAAACAACAGAGTGGGCGGCAAATTGTAAACGTAACGTAAACGTAACTTAAACGTAACTTAACGTAACTTAACGTAACTTAACTTAAACGTAACTTAACGTAACTTAACGTAACTTAACTAAACGTAACTTAACGTAAACGTAAACGTAAACGTAACGTAAACGTAACTTAAACGTAACTTAACGTAACTTAACTAAACGTAACTTAACGTAAACGTAATTAGTAAGTGATTTCAGAGGTCTTGAATAGAACGAATCAGTTCACTAAGTTTGAAATTAATTTATTACTTTTAAAATTAACCAACAGTTAGATTCGCATTTCTGGTGATTAATTTTAAAAGTAATAAATTAATTTCAAACTTAGTGAACTGATTCGTTATTCTGTAAATTAATTTAAAACTTATAGTTTCAATTGTTAGGCTGATGAAGCAAGATTTGAACATTTGTGAGTTTGTGTAACATGTTATCAATTAAATTGCAAGTTAGTAAATTGGTTTGTTGTTTTGAAAATAAATTGTACGTTTAGAAAATGAATTTTTACACTGATGTGAAGGAATTTGTATATCAGGCAATTATTTTGGAAAGTTGTGAATTCATTTGCAAGTTAATAAATTGATTTGTTATTCTGTGAATTGAATTTAAATTTTGAATTTAAATTTTTCGAACAATATAAAGTAATTTATATTTTTATTAATTAATTTGAAATGTTTTAAATTAATTTAAAATTGTGTATTTGAAATGTTTGAAAATGATTTTTGAATGGGATGGCTTTCCATACATATGTATATAATTATGTTGTCACTATCGGGTATACGGTCAACACGTTCGCTAAATTTTGCATAACAGCGTTGGCTGCATAACACGGCTGCCAGTGACAGGAAGTTGATACAAGTGCGGGACGCCCCCGGGAACAAGTTAAACCAACAGCGCGTGGATACCCCTCCAAACAGGCATGGTTGGCCGACCGGAATCGGCGTTGACAACAAATTTAGCGCGCCGCTAACAAAATTGAATTATTCATAACGAAACGTCAGAGTAACCGGTTTGATTTCCGACGACCGGATTTAAATATATACCTACTATAGGTATGGCCACAGACCTTATATATACTAAGACGGTGCACTTCCTATTGTTTGCGTTGTAAAGTATAGACCTATATAGGGTCTTTGGTATGGCTAATAGATCGCAGGTATCCGCAGCTGCAAGGAAAAGCTATCTCTGGGTCCGAGCGGCGCGCCGCGGGCCTAAGGTAGGCGTGCAAGCTCGTGTCTATAATATCTCTGTCAGTTTGCTGGTTAATCCGGCAATTCACAAAGCTTTGGTGCTTGTCAGTATGATTGACCTGCCACCATCCTAATAGGATCGAGCTACTTATGATTAGAGAGGTGCAAGGCATTCTTACATATAACCAGGAGTCTATCAATAGATTGATTGTTGATAGACTCCTGATATAACCTGTAATTTATTCAACCGTTTTTGGTGGATCGGTGCTTAGACAACTTGTTGCAGATTTCATACGTTATTTGTACTGTATGGTTTCTACCAGTAGCGCGCCTTCTTACTATTGGAACCATGAGACTGCAATGTTATCAGCTAACATAGCCTGACTTGTTGCCAGGAACTAGCTTTTCAGCCGTTTCCCCGGTGCGGCGTTTTTATTAGCTTAAATCATACCTCACACCTCCGTAGCATATCTCAATGGAGACTTAATTATCTATAATTGGATCTAAATTGGTGACTGCAGGTGAAGTGAGGCAGCTATTTCTATTCTCAAGGAGGCGTAATTAGGGGGGCACCAGAGCCCGCGGAGCGTGGCTGTGTACTTGGTCCATTCACAGCAGAGAGCGTGATATATACAATAGCTATAGCGTCGATGTTTACGCGCCAGGTGATGTTGCTGATGCTAACCTGGCAAAGGTCACACGAGTACAATAATTAAACCTCTTCAATGAATCTATTATTGTACGCTGCCTTTAGCTGTGTTCCGGAGCAGCGTGTGCTTACAAAACTCACTTACGGGCCCATATCGATTGTCGAATATCTTGGACACAATATCTAAACGTCCCTCGTCGCTCAGTGCAGGCATGAACCAGACTTGCCCCGAGCCCAGGTGTAATACAGCTAATCGTAGCGTGTCACACTATGCCGCACAATGCGCATCCAAACGCTAATTTCTTCAGTACTAGACTAGCAAATACTTCGTGTCATGCATAATCATACTACCTTATGGCAAAATAAACTCTAGTTCCTCCCATTTCACTGCGCGTTGTCTTGTAAAAGGTATTTTGAAAATACCTCCGATGTTGTTGACAGTTCCCCAATCTCCAAGCAACCGTGCAGCGGTGCCGCGGTACAGCGGTACGGGCGCAGCAAAGATAAAAACATCTGACGTCACGTCACCACTTCGATGTTATGTTGTTTGAAACAAGTTAGCGTTGGCGCCTGATTACCTAATTTCGCACCTCTTTCTTGTTGGGAACGCGCAGTCAAATGGGAGGAACTAGAGTTTATTTTGCCATAAGGTAGTATGATTATGCATGACACGAAGTATTTGCTAGTCTAGTACTGAAGAAATTAGCGTTTGGATGCGCATTGTGCGGCTTTAAGTGGACTCCGACTGTGCTCCTGTAGGGAAGGGAAACTGGTAGCCGTTAGTGGCAGTATATAAATAGTTTGCAACCGAGGATTTTTGCCAAGTGTAGTGCGCGTTGTTTCAATGCCTACGTTATGCCAAAGACATGATCATGTACATTTGATTTGCGTTAAGCAATCGGTAAATCTTATTCGATCTCATGCAGTCATATTCACCGAACAAACTAAAAGGAAACCGTCAGCTAGGCTTTTATTAATTCGCTATTGGTATATTATCGCTATATTAATGACGAAGTTTACGACCAATGGGCAACTATAGTAGTGAATCTGATATGACATTTCAGGAGGGAAATAGTGCAGCTGTTAGAAATGATGGCCAATATATAGCACTCCCACGTTCCCTAATCTTGTCAACCTTTTCTCATCTTGACCTAACTTCATTATCGCTATAGCAGCCCCCTGCTACGTACCAGTCTTCCACCCGAATAAAAACGCGGAATGCGTGCGAACTATATTTAATAGCTATAAATATGTTTCTTGTGTAATCATCTAGTCATCAAAACTAGTGCACCTCCTGCTACGTACATGCGTTTATAGCCCTCTGAATATATTATGACAGATATCTGTTCAACGTTTCCCACGCGAGAACAGGCGTGAGTGTGGCGTCCATAGTTTTGCTTATAGGGTCTATGTCCCCCAGGGTACTGCCGGAACGTACCCTGGTAACTATCTAGCTGATATGGTTAGGGTTAGGGTTAGTGTTAGGGTTAGGGTTAGGGTTAGAGTTAGGGTTAGGGTTAGGGTTAGGGTTAGGGTTAGGGTTAGGGTTAGGGTTAGGGTTAGGGTTAGGGAGTAGGCGTAGGCGATTCCCTGGACTCGTTAGTGGAGTAGGCGAGGTACGGTCCGGCATATTAGATAGTAGGCCTAGTATTTAGTACCAGGGTACGTTCCGGTATACC